GCAAGAAAGGGTATAGAAGAAGAAAATCTAATGACATGGCCTCCTTGTTCACCTGATCTGAACCCCATTGAGAACCTGTGGTCCATCATCAAATGTGAGATTTACAAGGAGGGAAAACAGTACACCTCTCTGAACAGTGTCTGGGAGGCTGTGGTTGCTGCTGCACGCAATGTTGATGGTGAACAGATCAAACACTGACAGAATCCATGGATGTCCTTGCAAAGAAAGGTGGCTATATTGGTCACTGATTTGTTTTTGTTTTGTTTTTGAATGTCAGAAATGTATATTTGTGAATGTTGAGATGTTATATTGGTTTCACTGGTAATAATAAATAATTGAAATGGGTATATATTTGTTTTTTGTTAAGTTGCCTAATAATTATGCACAGTAATAGTCACCTGCACACACAGATATCCCCCTAACATAGCTAAAACTAAAACTAAAAACTACTTCCAAAAATATTCAGCTTTGATATTAATGAGTTTTTTGGGTTCATTGAGAACATGGTTGTTGTTCAATAATAAAATTAATCCTCAAAAATACAACTTGCCTAATAATTCTGCACTCCCTGTAAAGCTCAGTGTTGCCTGTCTCACATGTCATGTGGCCTCACGTCAGGAACAGGTGGAGTTTCTTTCACTTCTGCTTCCTGCTTTGTATCTCTGGGGACAGAACGAGGATGATAATTTAGTCATATTCACATAAAGGTGTGCTTCATATTTAGAAGCAATTAACTGTCACTCTACTTCCATTTTATATAGATGTATAAGTAAAAAAGGTAAAGCTCACCTGAGGCCAAGTTATCCCGAGTTCTCTCTGCAGCCTAATCCTCCTTCCAGTAGAAAGCTATCATGAAGACAAGGTCAGTAAATAGCAATGAACAGCACAGAGTAGGGAGACTGTGCCACCACTGGACGTCCATCACTGGCATGCTATGCATGCTGACATATTTAAAGCACATATTTAAAGGGACTCTCCAGTGCCAGGAAAACAATACGTTTTCCTGGCACTGCAGGTCCCCTCTCCCTCCCACCTCCCGATCCCCGGTTGCTGAAGAGGTGAAAACCCCTTCAGTCACTTACCTGAGACCCCCGCCGATGTCCCTCGGCGGTGGTTTTGGGTCGCCGCCGCTCCTCCTCTTCATTACGTCAGCCGGTGGGCGAGACTGATCCCGCCCGCAGGCCGTGGAGACCTAATGCGCATGAGCGGCAATGCCACGCATGCACATTAGAGCTCTCCATAAGAAAGCATTGAAAATGCTTTTCAATGCTTTCCTATGGGTAATTGAGCGACGCTGGAGGTCCTCACACGGTGTGTCCTATAGACACAGGAGTGCCCTCTAGTGGCTGTCTAGTCGACAGCCACTAGAGGTGGAGTTAACCCTGCAAGGTTATTATTGCAGTTTATAAAAAAAACTGCAATAATTACACTTGCAGGGTTGAGGGTAGTGGGAGTTGGCACCCAGACCACTCCAATGGGCAGAAGTGCAAGATTTAGACGAGGCACAGATCGGATTTTCATTCTCTGAGTGGTATTCTGAACCATATATAATGACTGAATTCGGTCAATTCTTTGGTGCCCTGTGTACATGACAGGGCGTTTAGTCAAGTCGAAAGAAGGATCGGGAGAACGGGGAGGAGTGTGAGTATGATGGGGAAACTTTTTTTGACACAGGAAATGGAGCTGACTTAAGATCCTTTGGTCAAACAAAGTCAAACGTAGGAAAAATACATAAGGCAATGTAGTCCCTATTTTATCTTATGTTTTAAAGAAAACTAGATCAGAAAGGAAGATAAGAAAAACAGATTCTGATAGGAAGAGAAGAGGAAACGATTGAAAAAAGGTATGTGCGGTGTGACAGTGCAGCATAGAGGGATCTTAAATGTTATTGATGGATTTTATCCCTATAGTTAAATAGAGGAGTTAGCGATTCTGTACAACAGAAGACTTGCTTATTGCCCCATGAGGACCCCTCAGGGATGCTCCATAACTATCTCGTTATCTGAGTAAAATTTGTTTTTGAAATACAGAATGAGTTTCACCCATAGAAACACACAATGTCTGTGTACTTACCTTACAGCTCACTGTTGCCTGTGTCACATCCCATGTGGCCTCATGTCAGGGACATTTGGAGATAATTTCACTCCTGCTTCCTGCTTTGTATCCCTAGGGACTGAATTAGGATGATAAAATAGCTACATTCACATAAAGGTAGATATCAGATGGATGTAGAAGCAATTAACTATATTTACTCCCATTTTATATAGATTTATAGTTTGCTGGCATGCCCTCCTTTTAAGAAAAAGATAAAGCTCACCTGAGGCCAAGTTCTCTCAAGTTCTTCTTGCAGCCTAATCCTCCTTCCATGATATCACTCCCGATCACTGTTAGTAGAAAGATATAATAAAGACATGGTCAGGCAAGATCAATGGACAGCACAGAGCGGGGGATTGTGATACCAATGGATGTCCGTCACCGGCATGTTATGAATGTTGACGACAGATATATTTAATGCACAGATTTAACATTAGCAGTCTGGAGCTCCCGTTGCAGGCTGGCTTATGATGGCGCCAAAAGTGAACTTACACCTGTGGCAGCAGTATGAGATATCTTAGTATGTGCAGCATGTCATATAGTAAAACTGCACATACAGGCTTCTATGAAGTGGTTATAGTGCTTGGAGTAACCCTTTAAGAATTCAATGCATTTTTGTACTGGTATTCACTTGTTTATGACTGAATTTATTGAATTTATTTTAAATAAAAATTATTATAAGCAACATATGGACCAGAGCGGAACAACTGTTTAACAAAATTACACTAGCGGCTAAGCGGGTTTTAGCTCAAGTCTGGCTGAAACCCACTACACATCCCATGAATGCAGTTATCATTAATATTAATGAACAATACCTCATGGACAAGCTTACGGCCCAAGTTCGGGGGACTATGAAGTCCTTCACTTTGATTTATGAACCGTAGGAGACATACATGAACGGGTGGTGGCCCCTGCACTCCCCTCACCCCCTCCCCACCCCCGCTTGGAGGATGCCCCACGTGCTGGTCCTGACCAGAGACCCCTAACTCTCTTCTTCTCTATATTCTCTTCTTTCCTTTCTTTTGCTCCTCCTGTCGACTTGACTCTTTGTCTCATATCCCATCTATTAAGGGTCTTTATTTTGCCAAAAAAACACTGAATCTCGGGAGAGATTGTGATTTCCGCTACATCCAGACATGACTACATACCTGGTGAAGACAAACTCTTATACTTTGAGTTAATAGTCTGCATTAACGTCATTTGCAACATAGATGTCACGTTGCTCCCTCATCCGGAGCAATCTTAATGCTGTCTCACTACTTGTATCCTAAGGGATCGATGTACAACCTCCTCTGATGCCTATTGTAGTACACCATGTTCTATTATAATGCGGTCCTGTATGTTTTATTTTGTACATGCTGTGATGTATACCCTCTATAATATTTCCTGTGTTGTTTGGAGTATAATAAAGAATTGAAAAAATGATTATAAGCAAAACATTTTATTACCTTTTTTTCCAAAGTTTACCAACCTGTATCCCAAGGTATCAAAAATAAAATTGATATCATGGTGCACATAATGAGAAAGAGGAAATATATTGTTTAAGAAACACAGAGACCAAATGCTATGTTTTATTTTGGTTCTGAAGTTGGACAATTATTTTGTTATGAGCTTAAATATATACGATTTGGTGAGGATTACCCCATGCAATTTATTATGTAATTATTGCCTCTTGAATAAATGATAAACAGCTTTTATAGTCTATTTACATAGATTTAGCTAAAGTTAGAGTTGTTAGGAATTATTACTAAACCCCTTAAGTACAGTGATGTCTCATAAATACAACAGTACCCCCATGCAGGTTTTATGGGGTTTTGGAAAGTTACAGGGTCAAATATAGGGCCAGCCTATTTTACTTTTTATACCTTGAAATTTACCAGATTGGTTATGTTGCCTATAAGACTGTTTGGCAGCCCAGGAATGAGAAATACCCCCATCATGGCATACCCTTTGCAAAAGTAGGGAACCCAGGTTATTCAAAATGAGCTATGTCCAGTATTCTTTTTTAAAAGCTTAGTCACAAACACCAGCCAAAGTTAGCGGTTTTATTTATTGTTTGTATTTTTTTTAAAAAACAAAAAATGCCCTTTCACTGATGATATCATCAGCATTATATGCTCTATTTGTATTCAGCAATGTCTCACAAGTACAACAGTACCACCCATGTTCAGGTTTTATAGTGTTTTGGAAAGATACAGGGTCAAATTTAAGGCTTGTCCATGTACACATTGAAATTTGCCAGATTGGTTATATTGCCTATGACAACATATTGCCGCCCAATAATGAGAATTAGCCCCATCATGGAATACCATTTGCAAAAGTAGACAACACAAGGTATTCAAAATGGGGCATGTCCAGTCTTTCTAAGTAGCCACATATTCACAAACCCTAGCCAAAGTTAGCATTCATGTTTGTTTTGTGCATTTTTCACACATAAACTGCATGTTCACTGATGATATGTTGTGATACATTTTACTGTTTTAAAACACTCATAGTTGTATTCAGCAAAATCTCCCAAGTAAAAGAGTAAAGGAACACAAACGTTTTCTTGACCCTATTGTGTTAAAACACCATCTAGCTTCCCTAGATGTGCTTAACAGTTTTTGTAACTTTATTTCAGCACTTGGGGGACTGCCTGCCTTGCCATTCCTAGAAGACTATGATTAAGGGTAAACTACAAGCACTATAATCACCACAGAGCACTGTTATAGTGCCAAGAATGACCTGGCACAACCCAATTTAAGGTAAATTTACCTGGGATCGTCTGGGTGCCACTCACTTCCTCTGTGAGAGGTGGAAGCTCTCTGCATTGAGCTAAACCCAGCGGAGCAGTGATCAGCTTTCTCAAGAGAGTTAATGGCAGTTCCATCCTTGAGCTTCCAGCATTTACTGCATCTTCAAGGATTTTACAAAGATGCTATATCTGTTATCCAGTCTGCGATGGTGGACTGTCCTTGGTCTCCACTCAAGTGTCCATTAAAAGTGTTGCCAGACTTAGTATCTGTGCGGATTGCATCTTCATACCAGATGTCTGGTGCTTGGAACTCTTGGCATGGTGTTTGCTGCCACAGCCAATCAGAAGTGTAGACATTCTCCTGGTTAGGGTAACTGCTCTGGAAGGAGGTTGGATCATAGTTGTCCAGGTCCAATAATGTGTAACCTGAGCCTGGGTCTTCTGAGAAGTAGCTGCTAGGGCATACTTCTACAGGAGTCAGAGCAGAGGATGGCAGATCAAAGGGCTCGTCATGGAACCAGACAGGCTCCAGTAGCTCTGATCCAATCTCTGTATTGGGTACCCAGTACATATCACCCTGTTGTTGCTTGGGTTGTTTCTTAGCAGGCTTACAATCTGTAAGCTGAGGAATGGGCTTTTGGCAGCTTTTCTTGGCAGAGCCCTGCCTCTTATCGTGCTGTTTGGCCCTGCGCAGCACATTGATCAGTAGGATGCGCCTGAGCAATTTGATGCCCCTCTTTTGCTTGGTTTTGAACCCCTTGAGCTTCGTCACGGTAAGACTTATTAAATGATTGTCATTCAGAGAGCGCTCCATGATAGAGTTGCTCTAATTAGCCTCACTAGAACTTGCTCAGCTTGGTTCTCTCTAAGCTTTATGGGACTTGGCTTTCGCAACTTCAACCAGTCTCTGCTGCACCTTCTCACCACACAGTGAGTCACAGTAGCACATGGTTGCATGTTTGTCATCATTGCTATAGCAACCTAAGCATCAGACAATCAGCCTAACAATGACCAGTCAGCCAATAGGATGATTGTGGTAAGAGAAGAACAATGCTGTTTTTTTTATCCTTGTTTGTTTCTGAACATTAAAATATTGGTATACATATAGACAGGCTTTAGTGTGTGAGGAAAACAACAAAAAACATGATGGACACTATTTAAAAAGTAATAAATTCCAGATAATACCTTTAGCTTTATATACACTTTTGGTTAATAAATACAAAATATATTGTGGTGTGTGTCCATGTCTAACACCTATCATTCTGTAATGTTATACATGAGCCCCCAGATTGTCCCATCTCTAGTCGACAAATTCATTATTTATATAAGTGATTCTTTGTATTAATAGGTATTCATGCATCTTCAGAGCTAATCTTCAATCTTTGTCAGCATCCATACATCTCCATCCTCGTCCTGTGCAAGCATGCATGCTTTTATTGTAATTATATTTTCCTCTGATTATTAAATAAGTCTATGTACAGACTCTGAAATTATTACACAGACAGCACCTGGATCAAAATATACTTTTAATTTACCTGTTGTGTAACTGTACCCCATCTTCTTTAGACTGTAGTAATGGGTTTGATTGATGGATTATCTATTTATTAAGTGCATGGGGACTCCTAGCCCCCAGGTTTAGTTAACACTATGGGACCAGGGGACAGGGAAAGGAAGAGTACATTTGGATCCAGGTGTAATGGAATAGGGGCCATAGCTCAGTGATGAAAGGACCAGGGGATGTTAGGACTTCTGGTTCCAATGTAGCTATTAAACTATGTTTGCAAACATATTACAAATAAATATTAATCTGACCTCCAGCACTCAATGAACATTCAGGTAGAATAATATATAAAAATAGTTAGCAAATTAAGCTCTTTAAACTCTTAAAGGGATATTGCAGGTACCATAACTACTTGAACGAATTGAAGTGGTTATGGTGTGTTGAGCTTGTGAGTATCACATCCCACATCACTGTTAAATGGGTCACCTACCATTTAGTAGAAATACTCGGCCCCCAGGAGCCTGCAGCCCAGCCTGCAATCATGATATGGTAAAGGCGGATCAATGCCATACCAGAGCTTTGAGAGCACTCAACATATCACGGCCTGCTACCCCTGGCATGGTGTGAAGTGGGGTATGACTCTTGTCTTTTCTATATTATCATTGAGGGTAGGCTGACGGTGAAAGAGTAACTTTGGTAATTGGTGAGTAAACCGTTTAACACTGATGTGGAACCGCATCTGCGGACCCCAGACACCATAGCCAAGTCAGTAAGTTCAAATAGTTATGGTGCCTGCACTGTCCCTTTAAGCAACCTCAAAATAATTATGCGTTTATATTTTGTGCTGTGCTTGGTGAATGTTTTGCACCTCCGTACTTCGTGTACTCTCCTCTAATAATTAATTTCATGTCTTTGTTCAATGCTCATAGAAGATTGTAAGTATAAGTTCATGTGATCAGCTTCACTAATGGAAGGTAACAGCTAACTAAAAAAATGGAACTAAATCAACTCGCACACAAAGTAATTCTGTATGTACGTGTTAGCTGGAAGGATAATCAACACTGTTTGAACCAAAACATGAAAAAAGTCAGGTATTTGAAATCCAAAGTCCTTAAGTTAAGCCTCTCACTAGTGAATAAAATCTTTACCAAAAGGAACCCCCTAGATTTCAGGCTTTATTAGTGATTGCCAATGTAGGGGGATTGACTAGAGGTAAAGATTTCTTACATATATTTATAGTCCAGAGTGCTGTACTATTAAAAGAAAAGTAGGGAGATGGTACAAAATGGCGGCGACCTATTTTTGCTCTTCCCTGGCCCCCACGCCTGAGCAATGGGTGTGGGCCCTAAATACCAATAAGTGGGGGACACCTATTGTCCTCCCCTCCGGCCCCCACCGCTGAGCGGCGGGTGGGGGCCCTAAATAAAAATGTTACCCATTTTAATTCTGATTGGTTAGCTTGAAATCCAACCAATCAGAGTGCTCTTTGTCATTTTACACAGCGTGGGAAAATTCCAGAGAACTTTTTCAGTGTCTGGGGGGGTTTTTTTCATCAGATTTTTTTGTGCTCTGGTTTATTTTTTTTGAAGTGCGACGGGTATTATGGTTTTTTATTTGCCCTTTTTTGGGGCTGAAAAAATAAGATTTTAGAAAAAAGAAGACATCAAATGGCAAGTAGTTTTTCTTTTTTTACAGGCACTTAGTTATTGTTCCCCCCTCACTATTTTTAGGGTGATGGGGGTAGGTAGGAGTATATTCATTTTTGTTTTAGAAGGGGGGTGACTAGGGGTTTGAGGACCCCTAGTCACCGGGACGGGGGGGTGTTAACATTTTTATTTAGGGCCCCCACCCGCCGCTCAGGGGTGGGGGCCTGGGAGGAGGACAATAGGTCCCTCCCTTATTGGTATTTAGGGTCCCCACCCACTGCTCAGGGGTGGTAGCTAGGGGGGAGGACAATAGGTGTCCCCCCCCTTATTCTAATTTAGGGCTCTCACCTGCTGCTCAGGGGTGGGGGCAGGGGGGGAGGACAATAGGTGTCTCCCCCATACTGGTATTTAAGGCCTCCACCAGCCGCTCAGGGGTGGGGGCCAAGGGGGAGGACAATAGGTGTGTGTCCCATATTGGTATTTAGGGCCCCCACCCGCCGCACAGGGGTGGGGACTGGGGGGACGACAATAGGTTCCCCCCTTATCCTACTTTAGGGCCCCACCAGCCGCTCAGGGGTGGGGGGAGGAAAATAGGCCCCCCCTTATTTTACTTTAGGGCTCCCACCCGCCGCTCATGGGTGGGGGCCAGGGGGGAGGAAAAAAGATCCCCCTTATTCTGATTTAGGGCCCCCACCCGCCACTCAGCCACAGGCTGCTCACTGATTACTAGACATGCCCCTACTCGGTATAGCGAGTAGGGGCAGAATGTACTAATACTAAGTAATTTTTACTTAGTATTAATAAATTTTGCTGAAAATCTTTTGGTAGCTAGCTCCCTAATACCGTGGGAATTAGGGAGTTATCTACTTACTCATTCCCATCCATTGACTGGCTAAGTAACTTAGATATTATATGAACGTGTTACTTGATTGTTGTAAGTGTTGCAAATGCTTACAGCTGAATCTTGGCTATGTTTGTATACTTGTTATTTCTGTGCTTCGGAAATTCGGCACTTCGTTACTTCAGCACTTCGGCAATTAAGCTATTCGGACATTCTGAAGTATCCGAATATCCAAATTGCCCCAAATTTGTCCGAATTGACATTAGGAACAAAACAAATTGCACATGTCTTATACAATACATGCCCATTCTTGATAAAACCATTAGGACCTGCCGTCTATTAGGGTTTTTATATATGTAATATAATTCCCTATTGTTCCAACTCAACAGGAGTAACCAAGTGTGGTATTACATTTAAGTGTAGAATATGTTCCATTTGAACCTTGTGGTTTTATATTTTTAAGGCTTTTAGGTATAACAATAGGAGTCCTAGTCCAAAATCTGTGTTATAGTTCTAGGTCTCCCATTTCCTTCGTTACGTTGACCATGCCTGAGGAGATTTATATACGAAATATATATTAATTCGAGAAAGGAATCTTCCCGTTAGGAGTCGGGAAGTGAGAGAAAAGATAGTAGAAAGAGAGAGACAGAGTAGATAGTACAAGAGAAAGAAGATAAGAGAGTGGGTGCAGCCTCCGGGAAGCGGCGAGATAGAGGCCAGGGGGCGAGAGCCGGGGGGACAGAGGGCAATTCAAGGACCCCTTATGCCATATGTGATGACTTTATCCCTCGGTAGGAGGGGACCTCCATTGCTAGGTCACCTTTACTTCTCCATTTCAGTCTTATCTGTCTTCCCTGGATCCCACTCCGCTATTATCCCATGGCTCCCAAAGTCTTAGAAATGTTTCTGTCGATCCCTTCACTCTTGCTGTCAGGTCGTCCATTATCCTACATTTGCGGATATTGCACATGTCTATAGAACAGTGTATATTATTACTTTGACAGAAAGACAGTGAGAAGAATAAACTTGGAAAAAGAAGGAAGAGAGATTAGGAGAGAGAAACTAGGAAGGCAGAAAAGATGGGAAAAGAGACGGAAGGAAGGTTTGTGATACTTTTTTTTGAAATTCTTTATTTTTGCTGTGCATGAAATAACCGTTGCATGTCAACAATGCCACAACAGCATTTGCAAACATTTTGGAGACAAGTATTTGTTAACAGTTGTATAGCATTCAGAGAAAACGCACAATTTTTTAAGTTGATAAGACAAGCTAAAAACAAGCTGGATAATTACGTCTGTCATAATGGATTACTTTGTTGTTTAGTAACAGTAGCTTAACATTAATATTCTGCGTGTCTACGCTTTTGTATGATTGAGGGCCCTGTTGCTGCCTGAGACTATGGCCACGGGTGATTATATATTAAATGGCGTCCAAGGACATCTGTGTTGCTAGGCTATCTGACTCTGCGTCAGTTGTGGGAGCAGCTAGACAATCCCGCATCGCGTTTATGCCATGCTGTACAGTAGAGGACTCCTGTGGGTCTGCTCGGCCAATGTCCCCCTTCGGTAGCGTATTTGCTCTTGGTAACCCGGTAACATGGTGATACCTGGGATAGTGAGTCTATCGTGTCTGAGGGCTGGGTTCCTGCCTATGTGTTTAGAAATAGGGATCCAATCCTGCTTACGAAACATATTTTATACATTGCAAGACATCACTAAAAATTATGAGCTAATAGAGTGCATCACATATCTAAGTTGTTGCGCCGTACGTTTGATGTAGGTTAGATTACCCATGTCTAAGCAAAAATGGGGTGTTTAGTGGCTGGCTGCTAATCGCAGGTTATGCCTGCCGAGAGAGGATATGGGCACTTGTGTAGTTTGAAGCGGTGCGAGAAGAGGAAAGTGCTTAAGAGGTCATGCGGCTTGGCTAACTAGGGACATATAAATTAAAGTAAACATATGAACTGTGTACTCGCTGAATGTGGAAATCGGAGTCCTATTCTGCAGATTACTACAATGTCCCGTGAAGTGGTGGATTGTATAAGCATGGCCCCAGCTCCTCACGTCCCTCGGTCTTTCTCCTATGCCCTCCGGGTTTACCGGTCTGTCCAGCATGTCTTAGCCGATAGTGTAGTTTCCGTAGCTTTCGTTGCTTTAGTGTAGTCGGGTTAGTGCGGGGTATCTGTCGGCTCGTAGGAGGCTTCCAAGGCCATTCCTCGTTGCGTGCTCGGTCTCCCTTGTCTAGTTCCCGTATGTCCGCTGCTCGCCTTGCTCGGTTGAGCAGCATGGCCCAGAAGCTGTCAAATATGGCTCTCAGGGTGTCTGGTCCCTTGGTGTTAGGGCCTGCTGAGATAGGCTGTGGCAATGTCAGACCTTGTGTTGCGCAGAGCCCAGTGCCGCCGCCATCTTGGATTTCTTCTTTCCCGCATGGCTTAGAAGTTTTGCAGGGCTCACAGAAGCGTCCTCAAGGACCGGGATAACCCCCACCGGTCCACCGGGGTGTTGGCAGTACACACTTGTCCGCCAGAGAACCGGGAGAGCAGCTCCCATCCGCACAGGCCGCTGGCCACGATTTGGTCCACCTAGCACCGGAGAGCCAAGTATCGGGTATCCCCGGGTGCCTCACAGTCTCCTTATCACAATTATTGCGTGTAGCAGTTGGTGTGATTGGGTGGTCGGGCAATAGACCCAGAATCTTGGCTCCGGACTCAGGAGCTCTCGACATGCACGTCTAGTCCGCTTGAGAGTCAGGCTCTGCCCCCAGATATTTGTGATACTTGAAGACGGGAAACAGGATTTTTGCCTCAGGTGGTAAAAATACTTACAAGGGCCCTGAATAAGGGTACTTAGGAATTGTTTTCAGACATACATGAGTACTTCCACTGAAAAGCTTGAGAAACACAGGACTAACCCTGACCTTAATGGATGTCAACTAATTTTGGCAGAACATTTTCTGAAATATATAAATATCTAGATTTAGGGATTAAGCAATTGGTCTATATAGATGAATTCTATATTGACTTTAGAATGCTGGTAAAATATCAAACATTTTTATATACTTGGGAGTTTCTTCTGTAACCTGCAAATTAAAGCACATCAAAAGCAGAATGGCAAACAAGCAAAATGGGATTACAGTTGAGTTTGAGCATATGTCCAAATTAGCTACATTTGCCAATTTTACAGATAGAATGTAGCATTTCATCACACGCATATTGATTCCAAATATTTAATGTGAGTAAAAGTTATATATTTTTGGAAGCTGTAAGAGTGGCTGTATGTTGAATAGCCAGGGTGTGTGTTGTCAGCGGTGAAATAAAAAAAAGAAAATATCTTTAAAACTAAAAATATTTTGGGAGTCAGACTGCAGAGGTGGTATCTATGTATCATAACCGATTCATTAGCCAAACCGAGTATCGTGGTTAGATTGCCATTTAACAAAACATTTATTATTCTCATAGAAGGTGTATTTTCCAGAGTTATCACTAGATGGCAATATAATAATGGCACTAGAATATCTTGCAATTCTATTCTAGGATATCTCTTTAGCATGGTTTATTCACTTAATCTATTTTTCAAGTGTCTGCTCATTACTTACCAAACCAATTATTGTTATGTGTCCCTTAAACCATAAGAAAAAAAGAAAAAGAGACCATTGGCCGAATCAAACCCTGTGAATGAGATGAAATCCATCTGAACAGGTTAACTAAAATCTATGAATCTATTAATACTTGGTCCTTAAAGGGACTCTCCAGTCCCCTCTCCCTCCCACCTCCTATCCCCGGTTGTTGAAGGGGTGAAAACCCCTTCAGTGACTTACCAGAGGCAGTGACGATGTCCCTCGCCGCTGCTTCTTGCTCCACCCACGCTCCTCCCCGTCCCCACGTCATCTGGCGGGGGAGACCTAATGCGCATGCACATTAGACCACCCCCATAGGAAAGCATTGGAAATGGTTTCAATGCTTTCCTATGGGGATTTTAGTGACGCTGGAGGTCCTCACACAGCGTGAGGACGTCCAGCGATGCTATAGCACAGACAACCTGTGCTATGAATCAGGAAGTGCACTCTAGTCTAGTCATAAAGAAAGCATTGGATTGGCCAAGATCAGCACGGGGCGGGGCTAAATTCCTTTTTGGCCAATCAGGACCTCCTCATAGAGATGCATTGAATCAATGCATCTCTATGAGGAAAATTCAACGTCTCCATGCAGAGCGTGGGGACACTCAACGTCAGGGCTGCTTTTTCGGCAGCACTGACCCAGGAAGCACCTCCAGTGGCCATCTAAGGAGTGGCCACTTGGAGGTGTCCCTAGAGGCAATGTAAACACTGAAAAGGCAGTGTTTGCATGAAAGAAGCCTGAAGGGAACTATTATACTCACCAGAACAACTACATTAAGCTGTAGTTGTTCTGGTGACTATAGTGTCCCTTTAATCTATTTTTATGTTACAAAGAGCAGTGCCAAGTGAGGAGGTCAAAGACCTAAAATATTACATTCAACACATGACATCCGAAGAAAACTGTATAGAGATACAGAGGCCACAAAGTACTCTGCAGTCGACCATAAATTGCATGCATCATGACTAATGAGTCTTCTTAAAACTAACAATCCTGTCAATAGCACTACATGCCTGTTCTAGGTTTTAAACAAATAAGATAACACTGACAAAATCAAAGGGCAGACAACATAGAGTCCAGCATGGCACTCATTGAGCTTTAAAGTGCCAAAACAGTGCATCTGGACCACATCTGGTGTTACAGTGAAGAAGGATAATGAAAGAGAACCGTCTACTGGGCTAAGACTTGTGATGAGTACACTTTATGCTGTAGCTTCATGTTCTGGAAGAATTTTGGTGGGTGAGAAGGGCAGATAACATTTTGAGTCATAATGAAATGCAATTAGTCGTCTTTAAGAGCTCCACGTGCATGACATGTAAATATCCGTATCATCACCAGAGGGTTTGGTATGGAAAGATCCTGAGTAATAGTGGGTTGTTTTTTGCACAGTTGGAGCAGTCTCTCCTTGTTAGAACTGCAAAATTGGGCAATGATATCTCTAGAGAGCACCAGCTGAATCAGTATGAGCCCTGATGGTTTGGTAAGCTCTATTGAGACGGTGGCAGGACCCCTATGTCAATATAGTAGGTACCCAACAATTAATACTGGAGAAGCTCTTTGGGGCACACACCTCACAACTACATATTGCATGCTCAGTGTTGCACCACTATATATTCCACTCAGCGTTCTACGCTTTCTATGTGTGCTGCAGTCACGGATGATACATTAATCAAATCATTGTATGTCCACAGGATGTATATTCCATAGTCTGTCGTGTGCATATTTGTTTTTAATTTTTTGCAACTTGGTCCCCAGATCTTCCAGATCCTAGAACATCTGTTTGAAATCACAAAATAAGACTTTAATATCTCCTTTACTGGATAATTTATATCTTAAACGATTAGCTGATATATATATATATAACTTAAATGTTTAGCTAACCCCACAATATAACTCGATCATCGCTAAATTACAAGAGATATATAATATACTTTATTAATCTGAAAGAGGCTCTCGATAGGTAAGTACTGCTACAAGCCTCATCAATATCCAGTCCAGAGGAGTCATCTGCTGAACTACTGTCACCATCTGCAGCTGATGCCATCTTAAATAGAGAAGTCTGGGATCACCAATAATTTGTGGTTGTTTAGAGTAGAAATTGATTTTCTGTTCTTGCATCCCACAATTAAACAGAATAGAACAATGTGAGGTAAGTATAATTGAAATAATATTTGAGTAAAGCCAGCCAAGTTTTGAGGTCCAAGAACACACCCGACCCCTTTATGCTGCAATTACGAGAAACATGAATGTACACTTAAATGTAGGCTAAATATAAAGCCTGGGTTTAACATATAGATTTCTGTTATGGGGTATATAAGCCATTTCAATTATGTTAGGGTCTATAATTTTAATCTTTCTTTTATTTGTTATTTGTTATTTGCTGGTTGATGTCCTTGGAAAGAAAACCAGATTTATCCAGTAAATAGTGTTCTGTTTGGAAAAGGCAGTGTTTGCTTGAAAATGCCTGCATATAATGATTATACTCACCAGAATAACTACATTAAGCTGCAGTTGTTCTGGTGACTACAGTGTCCCTTTAACAATTGTTTTCAATTTCACTTACTAAATTTGTCTCTGCTCTCTTTCTAGTTCTGTGTTATTCCTCCTTTAAAACAGGCAGCCAAAATTGCATGGCATATTCAAGGTGAGGTCTTAACATTTATAAAAAGGCAAAATTACATTTTGAATCCGAGATCAAACAGCACTTTACTACCCTTAGCAATGGCAGACTAGCATTATATACTATAACTGTCCCCAAGTCTTTTACAATTAATGTTGTTATCCCTAACTCAGTCCCATTTAATGTATAGGTGACTTGTGGGTTCCCTATTCCAAAATGCATAACTTTGCATTTATCTGTAATAAATGTCATTTGCCATTTGCCTGTAAAGTCCTCCAATTTATCTATATCCCTATGTAGAGAAGTTATATCATGTTTAGATTGTATTATTTTTGTGTCATCTTCAAACACCAACTCAATATACACTTTTATGTTTAATTATCTGTAATTTGCATTTGAGACTTAAAGTTTAAAGGAATTATATAGCATTAGGAATACAAAATGCTAACCCTGGCAAGCATTTGGAAGCTATTTCGCATGTGTAGCAAATCTCTGCGCTGTTCTAGTTCAGCATCTCCTCACAGACATGCATTAAGTCAATGAACCTCTACGGGGAGCATTCAACATCTCCATGCAAAGTATGGAGATGTTGAAGATGGTTCTGCAGAGATTGCAGGACCTCATCCAGGAAGTAAAAGTTATAAAAAAAAAGCTCAAACTCACCTCAAGTTCCATCTCAGAAGCCATGTTCTCCCCTCAGCCCAGACCTCCTTGGCTAATGTTACTCCTCCTCCCTGGGGGGTTGGGGCGGGGGTAGTTCAAGGAGGATTGACTGAGGGAAACATGGAGGGGAGGACTGCAGACATTTGCTTTCTGGCAGCAGAATGCTGTGTGTGATGGCGTCAGACTCCAATTGTGCACAGAATTGACATTAGCTAGTTTGTAAATTTGCTCTTGGCTAGATTGAGTTACACCTAATAATACCTGTATGTTTCAAAGCAAACTGATGCACATACAGACTCCAGGAGCCATGACCACTACAAATCAATAAAGTGTTAATTGTGCTTGGAGTAACCCTGTAAGCTGTAGTGGTTGCAGTGTCCATTTAAAATGGAAGTGTTTTTGACATCAAATATATCCAACTACATTGTATGGCAGGTTTGGTACATTCATGTTGCTACTTCTAATAAACATTTTAATTTGCAGAAAGAACATTTTATTCATACAGACTGATATTGAAACTCCTAATTATAGTAAATTGAACATTAAATAGTAAAATTTTCCCTTAA